TTTGTTTAAAGCTTTCGTTAGTCATACTTTGGTTGTAGTTCTTGTTGTAGTTGTTCTTCTTGGTCAAAAGTTAGCTCAGTGCTTACAAATTACAATACTTAACGCGCAGTTCAGAACAGATATCGATATATATATAGCTAGATAGTTTGGATAGATAGATAAATAGTTGGTTAGGTAGAGTAAAACATCTATGCAAAAGTCAAGTAACTAGACAACGAGAATATTGAGAGACAGCTGGTTAGCTTAGAGTTAAGTTACAGTTTTTATATATATTTTAGGATAATAGATATTATTAGGATAATACAAACTATGTAGAATTCAAATCAGGCTAACACCTCAAAATGAGCGAAAAGAGAAGCCAATTGACTCGTTAGAAATCTAAAAGACTTTGCTACAAAAGAGGGCAGCATAAATAGCTGAGAGGCAGGCTGCTAAGTCAACTAAGTTAGGGTATATACAAAGAGCTCTCTACTGCATTTCAATTAACGAATATAATTATTATTTTGTAATTTTATGAAACTCGAATCATTTATTCGTTGTTTTTTTTTCATAGTTACTTTGATTCATTTGAGTCTACTTTTCGTTTCACTTGCTTTCTTTTTATTCTCATTTGTTTGTTCCTTTAGTCTCGCTCTCGTTCATTCTATTCGTGCTCGTTAGTTCTACTCGCTGGAGCACCGTTCTCATTCGTTAGTTTCGTTCAGTTCGTTGATGCCCTGCCGTCATTCGTTCTCTTTCCATATAGTCCTGTTCACGCTGGTTCTGTCCATTAGAATTCGATTCTCGTTTCGGTTTCAGTCTAGCTCGAAACATATATTTGTTTAACTGAACGAGAAACGAGAACTTGGTGCATATGTATTTATTTGGTGAGTCATTAAATGGAACTTATACGAACATTACAATCAGCTCGATTATGTTAATATAGATACAGTTAAAAATACTTCTAGTTGGGATATAGCAAAATATGTACTCGTTTGTGGGATATATTGAGCCTTTGCAAAACAACAATCGACATAAATGTTTAGCACTTAATTTCATTATTTTTCTTATAGGTATATCGAAATAAACTGGTGTGTGCGAATTGTTCTTTGGGAGACTGTTACGCGTAAAGGTAAATATAAAGAGATTCGATAGCTTTACTAGTTAATAATACTATAAATTATGTTTGATTCAAGCGTCGTTGACGCAGCGTGGCAGACAAAAGCTGATAGCTTTTACGTTTGATAGCAGCTCAGAATGCATGGTAACTGTTTACAATGCAGTTGCGTAGCAGCGAGCTTTCTTATCGCAGCTGCAGAGCTCTTTGCTTTGACACACTTGACCGAAGAGTGCGTCAAATGTTTTGGCATTGAAAATGAATAAAGCCACGCTGCATCAGCAAATAACAAGCACAAATGGGAGAGTAAGTTGCAGAAAGAGAGAGAGAGAGATAGACAGACTAAGTGAGAGAGAGAGAGAGAGAGGTGTAGCGTTTAGTTTAAGAACACGCTGTAAATAGTAGTTGTTGCATTTGGCCAGTGCTGCTTTTGCTGTTCTCACAACTCTTCTTCAATTGTTTCTATGTCTTCTCTTCCCTATTATCCTCTGTTCTCTATTGATATATACTCTTACTTATGTACTCCCTGACTTACACATGCCATTAGCTGTGCTCTCTCACGCCCCCAATACAAATAAACACACACTCACTCACACACGCTTACATTAGCCTTAACATACGTCCTCTCTCTCTCTCTCTCTCCCTCCCTCTTGCATATCTACACCTGTTCGGCGCTCTCGTCGAGCACCATCGAGTGCAGATCCATGGCGGAGCGCGTCTTCCTCGGCGGCCTCGGCATCAAATAGTGACTCGTACTGGCTCCAACAAATACCGAATTCTGGCGCGGCCGAGACACGTGCGAGACATGCGAGGCGTAGCCTGAAATGAAAGAGGTACAATACGGATTTAGAGATGAGATTGCAATAGATTATATACGAGAGTGCCAAGTTATCGTTTCATACAACTTAGCTTTCCTTTTATTCACACATACAGAATAACATGCACATACACAGGAAAGAAGTCACGACGTTTGCTTCTGTGCTTCTTTCTTCCTCAGCCACCACGTTCTTAATTAACTTTGGTGTCTATATTCCGATCTCCATGAAATGTTCAGAGCTTAAATTTGGCAAACATATGTAAGTGTGTACATATCAAAGCGCAAGGCTATATCTCTAAGCGAGAGTTTTTATACATTTCGACGTGTATTGGTGAACGCTTCTAAAGGGTTTCTGAATCTGTGTATCTAGCTCTTATAATCTTCGAGTTATGTTAAAATCAACCATGTCTCCAAATCGATATTTATCGATTTTGTTATGAAACCGGGAGATGTTATCGAAAAATATGAATAAGCTCGTTCCGCAAATGACAAACGAGCACATCTTTTTCAAGGACGGACAGATGGACACACAGGGTCACGATTGCTGAACATGTGTTGACACATACGCACACACACGCTCTCGCACACACACACACATACATAGTCGAAGACATACTCATTTGTTAGAAACAATCTTAATATACTTTTGCCAGCGAATCGTGCATCCATTTCCATTAACATTTCCATTACCCCACAACAACCCATTTTCCCCTCGGCTACGCTCAGCCTTTTGCTATGTGTGCATGTGTGCGTGTGCGTGTGTGTGTGTGTGTGTGTGTGTGTGTGTGGTTGTGCGTGCGTTTCCGCAAGATTTAATTGCATAGCCATTGTCGGAGCCGGAATCGGAGTCGCAGCATCCTCGAGAGACGAGAGACGAGAGTTGAGTCGAAGAAATGGCATTAAAATTGTATTGTTATGTGCTCGGCTTGCGCCACGCTGCCGCTGGCGGCGCCTTTGCCTGTCGCCACCCACACCGCCACCCACACCGCCCCCCCTTGGGGCCTAGACGCATGCAAGCAATCACCCCCCCCTCCCTCACACACGTTCGGCCACCCCGTTGTGCAGTTTAATTGTCTGGCAACTCATTAAAAGTCGCACAAAAATGCTGCACTTAAAGCGAGACACGCCTCAACTAGCGAGCATTAAGCATATTTATAAGCGCTTTCCTTGTTCTCATTCTCTTTCTGTCTCTCTATCTGTCTCGCTCTCGCCATTTGCCTCTCCCTCTCTCTGGAGCTGCATGCTGGCAGTCTGAAGTGCCCGCTAGATGTGGCGCTAATGCGTAAAGCTCAAACATGTTCGTCCGGCATAAAAGTCAAGTTCATTATATTGGAAAAACTACTTAAGAATTCTGCAAGCGACAGTGACCGACTCGAAGATACCCTGTGTACGGCTTATAAGAAGCAAATAGTTCAAATTTAAAATATGTTTATCGCTTCTTATATCCTAAGCATGGGCCCAGACAAAAATCTGAATGTATAACCTATACTCCCAATGTGACTCTTGTCTTGCCAAGTATCTGGGATGAAAAGGTCAAGTATTAAATGAAAAGAATTGTCATTTGGTATTCCGGAATTCACATAACAAATTGGGTAACTCTAGGTCTTATAGTTCCTGAGTTCGTTGGGTTCGTCTAGAGCTTTGCATTAAATCGACTGTTATGTTCTTGCTAATAGGACACATATTAACTGAATTAAGTTAAGACTCTTTTAAAAACATTCGCACAGCGCTGACCAACCATTTCATTACTTACAGGGTACTGCAGAAGACATGCAGTGTTGTATAAGGACCTGAATTAATGATGAATGAGGTACATATAGTCAACAAGTATGCTGGCAAAGGAATATATGCATCAAGGGTAAGTACTCAAGATTAAGACAACTCACGTGTGCATGCTAGTTTATATGTGGGGCTGTAAAACAAGATTTAACATCACTATAAAGTTATTGCTCGCAGCATTTTACAACACTGCATAAAATTAATAGCGGCTCACATGAGATTTGTTAAGGGAAGCTGCGTTCAGCACTTAACTTGAGCGTTTGTTATCTTTATTTCTTTACCTTAGCAAGATTCTACAAATGAATTATGGAAGCAGCTTTAAGAGTATATGTGCACGCACAAGCTTTGTCTGCCTCAATTTATATTCTACAAATGTTAGAGATTATTTTCCGCCCGTGCGCAATTAAAAATTTACCTGAAATAACTTAAAACCCCACGCGTGATAAAATATCTAAAAATAATAAGTTTTGCCTGCGTTTAATTTCTCCTCAGAGATTTCTTGACTTTCTTTGGTTTATTTTTCCATATAGATTATTCAGAATAAGTTTTTGCCAGATTTGTTGGGTCAAAAATTTCGAAAAGTTTTACCAAAAACTTTTGGCAAGTCAGTTCGGTGCGATTAACGCGAATTTCAAGTGCAATTTATTTGCTGCGAAAAGTTTGCAACGCTTTGGGGCGACGCTCGAAAGTAGGCAACATAACATGCAGCACGAGTTGACAACACACACACACACACACACAGTCACACACACTCGCACACACTCATGTAGAGGGGCTGTCGGGTGTGTGTGAAGATGTTGTTCGATTTTAATTGCATTTTGCATTTTCATTTTACGCGAATTTTTTCTTTCCGCTGCAGGCGAACAAGCCGAAAGAAAAAACACGAATAAACGTGCAGCATGCAACATGCAACATGCGGAACCAGCGGAAAGGATTGTGCGGGGCAGCTTGTGGCGTTGCGTCAAGGACAATGCTTACCCTTTGCATAGAGGCTCGGGTTGTAGGCCGCGAATTGACACGTTGGCATATTCAGAGTATGATTGTGCACCATGCCCATCGACATGCGGGATACGGAGGAGCGCTGGAAAGAGGAAGAAGAGAGAGAAAATGTGGCAGATAAGTTGAGAAAGTTGAATAAATTGTTATCAGACATTTTTGCAGAGGCAAGTGATATGCAAAATAAATTTAATTTAAGCGGATCTCAAAATGTTTTCAATATCTTTTTTATGACAGAAAGTTCTTTTGCTTACACTCAAGACAACTTCTCTTTTATTTAGAGATTTTTTGAATTTTTAATATTTTAATTTTGCGTTGAAAACAAATATTTTAAATTATTTCACTTGAATTATATATTTAAACATTTTCTTTTTGGTCGTTGGTTCGATTCACGCTTCAAAGTTGGGTTCGGTTTGAGAATCTGGTTTCTTATATATTTATGAAGCCAGGTTTGTAATTAAACCAAATTTTAAAGAAAAACAGATTTCAATAATTTTATTTTTACAAAACCAAATTAATTCAAATACGTATTGGCCAATTGTTATTGATGCTATCATAGGTTCAGACTATATAAAAATTAAATATTAAATGAATATGTTCTCTTAAAAACAAGGCAACTGAATCGGCTCAAGGATTGGAGCACAGCTAAAAACAAAACGAGAGCCGCTCGAATCGGTTAGGCTTGGAATCGGTTTGCGGGATAAAATCCCATTTGGTCGTGAGCTTTAACTCTCCCTTTCTCTCGCACTAAAAAAGGTGCTACTAGAGTTATTTTTCCAGAAATATGCCTGGAATTACAAATTGGAAATATCTAAACCTTATGTTTATATTCTTAGAAATAATACTATTTAGTATTAGATTACCTAACAAATATCGAAGAGCCTCAAAATCTTATAACAAATTCTTGGGCATTTTGAACACTTTTGGATGCTCTGGAAAGATCTGGTGTTTTAAACAGATTTCGAACATATCTTACCTGATGCGTTGCGACCGCATCTATATCGACCAAGGGACAGGAGCTGCGATGCTGTTGCTGGAACTTGGGCTGATATGGCTCCAGCATGCGTATCTTGCCCCAGCGATTGAAGAAGAGCATGATGGCGGCCACCCACAGGATGAGCACGAGCCCAACGATGAGCACCTCCTCGGTGCGCACTATGATCTTCGGACCTGCAATGGCAAAAGGGACAGAGCGAAATTGTAAAATGCTTTTGCTGTATGTCGGATTTTGAATTTCTCGCAGCGCACGTAAGCCGCATAAATAACTCAAGACGCCGCCGCCGCAGATTGGAATTCAATTATCACGCGGCTGCTGCCACATTCTGTTGCCGTTGCTGGTAGCTGTCGTTGTTGCTGTCTTTGTACCTGCCCCGTCTCCCTCTTGGCCTTGGTGGCAAGCCAATTGGATTACAGTTAAGACCATAAACATTCAATTACTCGTATCCTGCGCATTCTGGATACATGTGTAGCGACAAATCTTCACGGATTTGTTTTAAAGTCGTGCCTGTGCTGCGCCATTTACGATGCTCTTTTAAATCCAATAACATCGCATTACCTTTTTTTTTGTTAAGCTATGATTTAAATTGGGATCTGGCAGCCCCAGATGCGTGTCGAGCTGTAATTTTCGCACTTTGGCAGCAGCAGGCGTGTGCTAATTTAGCACTCTGGCAGCGCCAGATGTACGCTGGGTGGTTCGCTTAGCGATCTGGTAACGCTGGGCGAGTGTCTAAATAATGTGTGGTAGCGCTAGATGTGGGCTTAAATATTATTTCGACGTACTGGCAGCACTAGATGTATGCTGGGCGGTTACTTAAGCAGTCTGGCAACACCATTCGTGTTTTTTTATTGATCTGCCAGAACTAGGCGTGTTTTGAAATTTGATATTGTCAATCTGGCAGCAACAGATGTGTATGAATTTGTTACGTTCGTCATCTGGCAACACTAGACATTTGCAGAGTGTGCTTAGTTGGCTGCGCATCAGTGACATGAGGATAATCTGCATGTCAAGACGTCATATCTTCGTGCGGAAGTATGCCGATTGTGAAGCGGCATATATACGTCGCAATGCCGTCAAAAACATCGCTCAGTAGTTTATCTATAATTAGGCGCAATTCTTGTCAAATCCTTCCTCTCTCTCTCTCTCCCTCTCTCTGTTTAACTCTTGCTCTCTCTTTGGCCACACTAGTTCAGTTGGCTACGCCTGCATTTTGTAAAATGAATGTTTTTTTTATTTAAGATTTAAAGAAAGTATAGTTAATTAATTTCTGAAACTAGATGCACTCGAAACATTTCCTTTAATCCCAGTCATTAGGCGCGTACCGATAATTTGCTCGAATTTCCCCGGCAATAACATTTAGATCCCAACTTGCAGATTAATAAATGAATGGCTTTAAGTGGGATTAATGCCATTTGAGTTCGTTTTGGGTTTTGGGTCAACTTACCCGTTTCGGGCTTTGTGCCATTTGTGGCAACGGTGGTCCCGGGGGGCTCCTCCTCCTGGCTGTTGGTTATTTCGGCGACGTATTCATCGGATGTGTTGCTGCTGCCACTTGCAGCATTTGGTGACATGGCGGCTGTTTCCTCGACCTCTACGAGAAAGTTGGTGCCGCCCTTCCAGCCGGAGCCCCATTCTGTGAATTAGTTTGCGAATTGAGTTCATCAATCGAGTGGCATGCCGCATGTGGCATGCCGCATGTGGCATGTGGCTAGTTTCAAGTGGCACAAATGGCACGTGGCATATGCGTCATCTACTCACCTTCAGAGATGCCAGTCGAAGTGCTGGCCTCCTCGGCGCGTGCCCCCAGCTTAACGACTGCAAGTACCAATAAAAACAACGGGGAAGAGCGGGTTAAATGTGTTGAAAAGACAAACGATAAACTTTCGAGTGCGGCACTCGCATGTGGCATGTGGCAAGTCGCAAGTGGCAAATGTTGACTCGGCCCCTGCCAATTGGCTTCCATTGATTCCGTTTACCTTGGCCAGCAGCCAAGATGAATATGCCAAAAAGTTTCCCGAAGACCAACAAAACTTGGCCAAGTCGGTCATGAGTTGTCATCAAGGGTTGCTTTGGCTACGATTTTGTCATGATTGTGAACATAAGCGAGAGAAAGATAAACATAACTATCTGATATGATAGTTAACAGACTTGTCCGTGGTCGGCTAATGAGTTTGCAGAGTTTGGCAATGCGCAAATTTATTCCAATACTTTAACCTTGATAGCCTTTTATTTTGCCAAGCTACTCGAATAATCGAATAATAACTGTGACAAGGAAATGCCCCACCAGTAGATACCCTGAACGTAGCTTACGCCGCAGTTATGCTTATTCTTTATGTAGCCCTACATTATCGGAAATCCACTCTAGCTAGATTAACTTCGGTGCTTAAAGTCCGATTTATATTAAATTTACAGAGACCAAGAAACAAAAGAGAGACAAAGAAACAAAAAAATGTCTGCAAAATCGATATTTATCGATATTGAGAAAGTAGCAAAAGATATCGAGAAAAAAAAGAAGCTCGTGGTAAAGACGATAATTTATATTAAATTTCAAGTCTTGAGCATATGTACTTAGTCTTCGAGATCGACGCATTTATTCCGACAGTAGATCGACTCAACTTGTCGCCCTGATCAAGAATATGAAATATGCTTTACGAGTTGGGAGATGCATGCTTTTGTCTGTTACATACATTTACCTAAATAATGATGTATCAGTTAAACGCTCTATAAAAACTTATTCCAATATAATTTTGAAAATAAAGGCTTTCTGCTTTATATGGTATCTGATTTTGGAGTCTGGATCAGACCGGGTTAAACAGAGCTATTTAGGCCCCAGCGTTAAGTCTCTCAAATATTGCTTATGTTCGTTAAACCTGTAGGTGTTTTGGGTCTACAGTCTAAGAGTCAACGACGCAATAAACAAGAATAAGCTTTAAGCTAAGAGTATTGCGCAGTCGGCTTTATTTTGGTTATAGTATGTGCATTAGACACTTGGCTCGACTTCAGTCCGCCCCACTCGTGGTCAATAAAAAAAAAGGCAATTCAATTTCAATTATCAATTCAAGCAATAACCTGGCGCAGCCAACTTAACGCGCTCAGCTGCCAAGGACGTCAAGTGCTGCCAGATCGAGGCAGCATCGCAGAGTGGCAGCGTTGCAGCATCACAGCTAATGCAATTGCAATTATAATCAAGTACAATTTAATTGTAATCCATGGCAAACTTGGGGACTCAGCGGGATTCGCTCGTCGGGTGCGCAAATTATTTAAAATGACGTGGGTGAGAGGCGAGTTGGCGGCGTCGGAGGGATGGAGGGCACTGCATCAGCACTTTTGGCGTGATTCCCCAGAGTGTTGCATGGCTTGATGCGGCCAATTCACATGTGCAACTTCAAGTTGCATGCAACGTCCTTCAGCCAGAGCCCCACAAGCCTCCCTGCCGCCCGCACAGAGCAACTGGCTGAAAATGTTTTTGCTAGCTAAGCTTGAAAAGTGCTTGTGTCAGACACCGGGGCAGGGCACACACACACACACACACGCACACACACGCACACACATACACATACTCACATACTCACACACTAATATGGTTGTCGGTGCTATGAACGCAATTTACGAATATGCGAAACTTAAGACGCAACTTTTGGCACTTGTTTAGTGCATTAAAAGTTACAGCTGAGGCAGCTACCTCCTGGGTGGAGGGGGTTGTTGGGGCATATGGGGTCCAATGGGCGGGCGAGGGGGTGGCATTACTTAGTGCCTGTTGTGATGATGGTGATTTATGGCATAACCACAAGAGCCGAAATGCCATCAATTCAAGCTCTTCAAGTAAAGTCAACCAAAAAAGACGATGAAGATATTTAAATACTTGCTCGACTGGGCAATACCCTGTAGCTAGGTCTAAACAAGTGAGTGATCATCTATTTATGAATTAAAATGCAAATACAAGTATTGTACTTCGATTTATACATACATTCCTTTGCCAGCTATATTTTTCTCTACTTTTCGATATGTGGGGTATTGTGGGAGCTAACAAGAACTTGTTAACTTGTAACTAACTTTCCAAATTTCCTAGTCCTATAGTCCCTGAGTTCAACAAGGAGAAGACTGCGACTAAGTCAACTGCTAATGCTGATGAGGCATATGCATATAGTATGCATACAGTTCATAGCCACGCCTTGAGCCCCAAATGCCTCGTAAGTACATGCTCACAATTTGGTGTGATAGCCTTTCACACATTTGACGATGCTTTATGCCCCCGACCCAGATAGCCATTACCAAGTACTTTTGCCCCTTTATACCCTGACATGCTGTCCTCGTGTAGCATTTAATTTATTTATTTACTTGCTGCTCATTTAGTTAATTTGCTTAATTTGCTTAATCTACGCCCGAAAATGAGCTAATTAACATGCACAAATTATGCGCAATTCCCGCGAGGCATCAGCTGGGTCACAAGATCACGGAGCGAGAGAGAAACAGAGAGGGAACAAAGCTAGACTAGACCAGACAACACACAGGCAGCAGGAGCCAAAGAGAGAGAGAGAGAGAGAGAGAGAGTCAGTGAGGGATAGGGAGATACTTTCCTGGAACTTTGTCCTGCAGGGACAATGCGAATGAGGGATTCCCTGTAATTTATGAATGAAACAGCGCATAAAAATGCAAAGAGTAGACGGGAAAAAAGTAAATGCAGAAACAGAAATAGAAAGCAAAAGAAATCGTTTAAGAATGTAAGAAGGAGAAGCTAGAAATGCGCACAGCACATTAAAAGTGAATTCGTTGGCCAAAAGGGTGAACCGGAAGGAAAGTGCAGGTAATCAGGGTGTGCGTGTGTATGTGTTTGTGCCACCAAAGGTAAACCTGGCAATTAAATGCTCGTTAAGTCAAAACGAGCAGCAGTAGCAACAGCAGCATGTGAGCTACTCTCAAATTACTTAACGCAATTGCAGTGCAGCAAAAAGAAACAAAGAAAACAACACAAGTAGAAAGCGACCCATTAAACAAGTAAAAGTGAACCAAGGCAGCTAGAAGATACTCCTTAGACAGTTGTAAAAGGACCTTAAGCCCATTTCCATGTGCCACAAACATCTAAACATGCTGCTCTCCCTTTTGATGCCCGCCTACAGACAATACTTTCTGACATAACTCGGGACTGTATCATACGATTATACTGAAATTTTCGGCACTTCGAGTAAATGAACTCAAATATACGCATACCAGAAATAAAGACTATAGCTACCATATTCCACTTTTTATTTGACTTTGATAAATTTATTAAGATATAGAAAAATATTTATATATTGATATTTTTGAATGAATTGTCAAAGGTAGTTATAGAAGCTCAGTTAGTTGTTCACATGTCTGCATAATATAATATGATAATAAACCTTATTTCAAGCCAAATATACCCCCTTTCGAAGGCTACAGGGTATCGCAGAGAACAATTAAATTCTTCACTTTTCAAATGACAAACGCGTTGTGACTGAAGCTTAAGAAATCCTGGCAATTTGCACACGTGCATGAAAACCCAACCCTGTCCCACGCCCCTTTTAATCAGCGAGTATCGATACCAAAGTATCGGCGAAGATTGTCGTTTCAATTATGAGTAAATGTACTCGAGAGGACAGACAAAGCGAGAATCCATTGCCGTTTAATAATTCATAAAGAAATTACAACAAGAGCAATACACGCACGCACACACGTACACACACACACACACACACACGCACACACGTGGGGTTTAATATAAAAGTGGGAAATAATATTGATTTTCTATGTATTGCAATACTCACACACACTCACACTCGTTGGCCAGCTTTGATGGCAGACAGTTGCTTTGTAAATCAAGCAAACAAATAACACACACACTCACACACACACACACACATGCACTCACATGTGTTGTTAACTCAACATGACACATGCAAAAGCTATAATCGTGTGGGGGAAAAACAACAAATTACAACAAGAAACATGAAAAAAGACGGTGTTTCCTTTGAACCACGTCAAGCCGCCGTGGAAATACCCTGCAATGTCTGGCTGTAATAGCTATTATGGTCTGTTTTGGCATATTCCCAAATGAGGTCTATAATAACTCAAGATTTTACAAAAAGTTTTAGTTTAACATATTTCGAAGTAAATCAATTTGCAAACAAAAAACTGCATGCATTTCATCAAGGTTTTTTGAAAATCTTTAAAATAGATGAGATTTTCTTAGCAGAAAAATACTGTAAAAGCCGAATTCGAACTTAAGAGAAAGAAAATCTCAGCTCGTTTATTATCATAACTGATATAGACCATAAGCTATACACGATGCATAATTTGTTTCTTAGAAAGATAGAATAAGAAATGGAAAGAATGGACACATAAAAATTGGGTTTGTTTGAGATATCTTAAAGAAAACATACTTTGAATACATTGAATGATTCCTTCTACGACAGCTTTCTTGAGGGAAGCAGATGGATTTAGCTACAACTAAGAGACTTGTTGACATATAAACAGATAAACCAACAGACAGGCGGATGTGACTATTAAGACAGGCCTGTTGTTACAGATCAAGATATATATATATACTTATGTATATATGCATACATATATCCCTTATGGTACACTATTGACATTATATTATACATTGTATATTATTATTATTGTATATTGTTAAGCTATCAACTTGACATTTTTAATGGGCATTCATACACAAAACATGGGATTTGAACCAGCATCCCTTACTTCGATACTGAGGTGTGCATATATACATACATACATACATTCATATCTAAGCGAGGGATTTGAACCAGCATCCTTACTTCGATAGCTCATATATG